ACTGGTTCACTCCTCGACACGGCGGTATAACTATCTTGCTCTCTCTCTCTTTATATTACCGTAAACTAGTTGTCAAGCTCTTTAGTGTAGCTAGTTGTGAGAGCTTGTTAGTTTGGTTAGTGTGGCTCTTTGGTTAGCATTTGAGAGCACACTAACTTAATGTAGTGACATAGCTATTATGTGGATAGAAACTATATAAACTAGAATTATGGTATGTGGCTTGTATTTTTAGTAGGCTAGCGCAACACTTACTTCGCCTCATAATTATCTAACCGGTTTGCTAAGTGTTGTTGTAGAAATTTTTAATAGGCTATTCACCCCCTCTCTAGCCATTAGGACCTTTCAATAAGGTAAATAAATACTCACTCAATTTTAAATTATAAGAGATATACATTATGTCTAGATGCAAAGTAAAAATAATATATCTAGAAAAAGCTAAAATATCTTATAATTTGGAATAGGAGTATTAAATTTAAACAACAAATAAAAGAAAAAACTGCTCCACAATTCAGCTTAAAACTTACAAACACATGTAGATCCCTAAACTTACTAGTGATATGATGTGAGGTCTAAATCACTAAAACTTGAGTTCATACGCATGCAAGGCACGCTAATTGCACGATGACATGACATCAAAATACGGGGCCGCTATGCCTAAGATGAGATCAGCATATGGCCCCCATGTTTTGGTGTCATGTCACCATGCAGTTAGCGCGCCATATAGGTGGATTAACTCAAGTTTTGATGATTTAAGCCTCAACTCACATGACTAGTAAATCTAAGAGGAATGAATGTGCATTTTAGAACTTTGTTGGTCATAGATGGCACCATGAACCAAGTTCAAAGGCCAGTAGTGCATTTTTGGGCAATATAGTTTTGGTTTAAAGTTCTTACACACAATACTCCCTCCGTTCCTAAAAGAATACAATTCCGGAAACAGTGTCACATTTTAGTATATCAAGTTTAACCAATTATAAATAAAAAAATATAATTATTTATAATATAAAATAAATGTCATTAGATTAAATACTACATGTATTTTCAGAATAATTTGATTTGTAGCCATAAATATGAATATTATTTATTAAAAATTTGGTTAAACGTGAATTACTTTAATTGTCACATAACTCATAGTTATATCCTTTTGGGGACAGAGGTAGTATAAAGATTTGCATATATGTCTAGGACTTTGGCAGCAGGCAGCGGTACGCCACTCTGCCGGCATCTTGCAAGCTTCGACGGTCCGCCAGCTCGGGCAGGGGACGGAGTTTGAGAAACAAGCCTCCGTCTCAGCCACGCCCAGCGAGGACCCGCGGCGCAGTTGCTAACACCGTCACACGCGCCCGCGACTCGAACGCCAGCGCCCGACCGCGATCCTGCCTCCGCCGCGAGCCAGCAATACCACCAGCATCGCTTGGTGGAATCTCCCTACCGCACTTGCTGGGAAGCACGCGCGCACGCCCCGGCCCAGAAACGGGAGCTCCTGGTCCTGGCCAGGCTGCTTGCCTTCTCCTCCGTCTCCCGCGTCCATCGGGGGAGGAAGCGCCAGTTGTCCCGGGGACCCTGCCGAGCATCCCGCGGAGCATCCGATCGGCCAGTGCAGAAGGCGTGACGAGGAGACGAGGAGGGTGGTGAGCAGCAGCGCCTTGCAGACAGAGAGCTCCATTTGCTCACGCACTCTATAGCCGAGCTAGAACTTCTGACACACACTCTCAGATGATTCTGAAGGAGCGAGCACTATGTTGCTATTTATGTTTATCGGCTCGCCGCCCAGGCCACACACACATGTGCGATCGCAGCAGGAAGTGCGCAGGAAAATCGCACTGCAATTTCCATTGGATGTGGAGTCGAAGTTCTTTCTCTTTCCTAGCAGGAAACTCTCCAACAGAGCGAGCACACCCCTGTGCTGAGATACTCTGTCATGGCTTACGTTTACTACGACCACAATCAGCCGTAGGGAACTTCCAAGAAATCCTAACAACTCAAGTCAACAAGAAGTCTGGCTGTACTTCCATTTCATTTCCATCTTCAGTTTACGAGCCAAAACAAGCTCAGCCTCAGAACGTGCTGTCCTTGTCAATTTTTGCTGCAATGTACACTCATATGCCTGATGCAGGTTCCTGGACAATGCGCGTTTCTTATTCAAACAGGATGCTAGAAAATACCTGGAAGTAGCTAGCAATGGTAACTGACAGTGTGTCACATAATTATGCATTGCAATCAACAAGTTGCAGAAGAGTAACATCTTGTGCTTTAGGATAGAGCAAACAGCGCATATGTCAGAGGCATGTCTTTCAGCACACCCACGTGCTACAATGAATCATGTACTTCTTTTCTTTGCAACTAAATTTTGAAAGAAACCAGAAGAAAACAGCTAAGGCCTTGTTTAGATTGCAAGTTTTTTCACTCTCTCTCCATCACATCAAATCTTTAGACACATGCATGGAGTATTAAATGTAGATAAAAAAAATAACTAATTACACAGTTTGATTGTAAATTACGAGACGAATCTTTTGAGCCTAGTTAGGCCATGATTGGACAATAATTGTCAAATACAAACGAAAGTGCTACAGTGCAAAATACCGATTCCTAACCCTAATCTAAACAAGGCCTAATACTACAAAAGATGGTATACTCAAGAGTCAAGTTATCACGGGCACTACAATTATAGGTCCTTCCAAAATAAAATATAAACTTTAGTCCTCTGACAATGGAAACTTAAGTAGTGGCTGGATTCACATCTGGTTCCACTGTAACATCATCTGATTCTGGAGACCTCTACAAAATTGTAGCAGAATGTATTAAGGCAATACTTAAGCAAGTAAGACAGTTAATAGAAAAATGGACTGTTTCCTATATCAACAAGGAAAACAAAAAGGGGGAACTCAACTCGAAATAGTTCTCAAATTTGGAAAGATTACAATCAATCAAGAGTTATTAGTTGTGTGTGTGTGTGTGGGGGGGGTATGTACTATATTGTAGGCAGTGTTGACTTTCTCTTTTATCAGGGTACTTGTATCTTTTCAGGGTACCATTCTATAAGCTCAACCTCTGAATTGAATGGGTTAGAGTTGATCTTTTAGAAGGGATCCCTATCCCCCATTAACTTCAAGAATGGAAGGAACTTGTAAATTTGCGGGAGTTGCCTCAGTTGAATGAAGAACATACTGTCAGATGGCCTTTGGAGGAAAATAGAATTTTCGCTACACCTTCCTTGGATAAACATATAACTTTCCCAGCGGTTGGAGGTGAGAAAATGATAGAGTATTCTAAACCACCTCTGAAAAATTAGATTTTCCTGTGGCAATTACATAAGGACTGGATCCAATCTGCTGACCAATTGCTGAAGAAAATTGGCCCAGAACTGAGTGTTGCAAATTCTGTAAAATATGATGGAAACTGCTTACCATATAATGTTTCTCTGCCCATTAGCCAAATTTTATTGAGGCTTACTTAGAAATACTCTAAAGTGGGAGTATTTTTCCTTCCAATCTAAAGCAATTGCTCATTAAGCTTTTTATAATAAGGATCACAATACAAAGATGTTGCCTTATTTTTTTATTGGGTACTTGTGCTAGGTGCTTTGTCTAACTCATTGCAATTTGTCTTCCAAGTAAGCAGTGGTAGTCGGAATTCCAGCGTTCATGCATGAGCGTGACATGAAGAATTGAAGAACAGGTGAAGACAAGCTATCAATGTTGACAAATTGAGTCCTTGCCTGCTGGGATTGGATGATTTTGTAATAGGAGGATATGTCTTAGTCAAAAACTGTTCTGGTCCAATAAGGATGTTGTTTGCTTTTGCTTCTGTTAAGCTTGAACTATATTGTACACTGTTTGAAGTTCTGGAACAAAGAGTTGTTTATCTGGACTAGTCTTGCTGGTGGATTAGAGTTAGTTTGGCTAGAGGTCGTGTGAGATGTTACGATCTGATGTTGTGGTACAAACTGGAAAACCCAGCCAATTCTGGCAAAGCACAAACCAAGCACAAGCGGATATCAACTTATATTATGGAGGCAGAGTTATACATTCTATAAAAAACAAGGGCAATGCCTTCAGTCTGAATGAGGGAACTAAGAATAATAGTTCTGCTGCCAAATTTGGACCAGGCAATGCTTAGGGAACTATTCTAAGTCAAGCGCATTTTATGCTTCCCTTTTTTTTGTAGCTCTAGTCTCAGTACTATGGTCAATAATCCAGAAGCCTCACTACCATATAGTTAGCAAACGAGTATTCAATCTGAAATTCTTACAAGGTGTTTTGGTAGTAGACTTGGTGGTGGAGGTGGCAATTCGTCACTCTTGGTGTCAGATGCTAAATGGTTTCCCGGAGCCGGATGGCTATCACTATCAATCAAGAAAATAAGTTAGCCAGCATAATTGTACAAGCATAAGTACTATCTCAGATTAATGAAAATGCTTGATATCAAAGAACAACCGAAAGAATAAATTATTTCATCAAAAATATGTGAATCATCAATGCCAATTTTGAGCAGGTGGTCAAATTGGTAGTTAATTATATCCCTTCCAATCCCTTATTAACCAGCATCAAATCAGAGGAAGTGAAATCTAGCATGTCATAATCTGACCTTGATCTTCACTAAGATGCTAAATGGGCATCTGTATGAGCCAATGGCCCATGGATATAAAATAGAAAAACGTCAAGTCCTTTTTCAACTAACACCGGATCCATGAAAAGCAAATATCTCGATCCAGTATTCTAGATTAATTCCACAGATGTAAATACTTGTTACCAAGACAAATAAAACCAATGGTAGCAACAATCAGCACTCTACCTGCTTTCATATATTCTGATTGAGCTTACACACTTACACATGTAACCTATGTCTGCCAGAATATTGCTGAAATTCAAGTATATTTATTAATGGATCCTTTCTAATTAATTTATAAAGGTACTTACCTAGAACAATATCAAAATGTTAGCACAACAAAGTTATATTACAACCTATAGGTTGAAAATGAAAAAAGAATATATGAATATCTAGACGAATTCATAAATGTTTAGATTTTTGGGTACTTCAACATGATGTATGTGGTGCTTGGGTAGCATTTTTCTTGTGCTTCCTATTAAAGCAGAGAGCACTAGAGCACCACTGTCAACAATATCGTTTACTATTTCATCTAGCACTCTAGCAGAAAACTGTATTCATGATCATTATACATGCAAGATTTGTCACTTCAAATCAACAAGGCAGTACTCCTGCAAAAAGTTCTCCTATCATATCTGCCTCTCAATTTCTCAAATAGGGCAATGCCCAACAACTTAAAAGGCTATCCACATACTTGATCAAGTAGATCTGAAGGAAAAATATACATAGGTTTGTGGTGGTGACGGCTGACACAATGCACAAGTAGCATTTAGTTGTGAATAAATCAACATACTTGATCAAGTAGAGAATCTAGTTGTGAATAAATCAATACAAATTATTGTCAGCAATTGTTATGAACAAATCAAATGACTTACTTTGCTGTCTGTAAAAGATTCTCCAAATATGTGCCATCTTTGGTTTTGGGAAACTTATCTGTAGCCTGAGGGAGCAACAAAACCATAGTTAGAATCCGTCAAAATTAAGAAAAAGCACATATGAGTGCAGATACATGCTTAATCACAATATGTTATATCCAGGCTTGCAATGGAACTAAACTGCTGGATGTGACAAAAATAGTTTATGCCCAGCAGTATAAGCACAGAAAAAGGTTGCCAAAATATGTTAAATGGCATGAAAAGACCAGCCAGAAAACTATCAAAGGACAATGTAAGCTTTAGGCCACTAACTTTTGAAGGAGAAGGATAATCACAGTTCTCCTCAGAGAAAAACTGGAAGAGCTCAAGGGTGCCTTCTAGCCCATATTCCTGCCAAAGGGCATGTCTGTCAGAAAAGTTGAACACATTTAGTCCAAAGTCAAATGACTATAGACTCTGCAAGTAGGTACACCCATACATACTCTGTTGAATCCTCCATTGACAGCAATGGTTGCTATAGGCAAACCATGTTTGTCGTGAAAGAGTGGTCTGTAGTCCTCTTGTTTAGTAGAACTCAAAGGATGGCGGGCTGGTGAAACAATAGTGAGTGGCTCCTCTGACTGAGATAATGCTTTGATCTTAGCCTAGACATGTTCAAGAAAGCAAAAATAGTGCAACCTGTCAACCAATTGAAGCTCACACCAAATTCAAAAGATGAATGAAAAGGGAAACACTCCCAATTACAGGACATGCTACCGATGTATCTGGACTTCCAATACATGAATGAACTACAGAAAGGAACAAGGCTACAGGCCTAAATCACACCAAATAGGATCTCAAAATCGAAATGGGATATAATATGATACAGATAAATAAATAATAGACCTACTTTTGTAGTTCTCAATGGGTTATCCAGCCAGGTCGGTCGGGCGGGCGGGTGAGATGTGCAGCAGAATCCATTTGATTACATAGGGAAGTCAGCAGGACTCGCAGCTACTGAAAAAGCATACTAACTTAAACATCGCCACTTCCTCACTGAGCGTTTTAAGACGTTGCGCTGATCAGGGTAAACTCGGCAGCTGGAGTAGTACGACTAGGCCACTAGCACAACGCAACCTCAGTAGATAGCTTACCTTGGCCGCTTTGATTCGCATCGAAATGGCCGACAGCTTGTCGCGCTCCTCGGCGGTCTGAGACGAGCACAAGCACAATCAAATGTTAGGAGAATCGAGAATTTCCTCAGCGCACGGAGCGAGGAAGGTGGGGTCTAGGTTCGAGCGACAAGGGGAGGAATCTCATGGTGGCACATACACGCCTGGAGACGGTATCGAAGACCTGGTCTGCGGCGGCCTGCAAGTCGAGGAGGGCGCGGCCGAGGTCGCCGTACCCGGCGGCGCGGGCCGCCCGGCGCCGTCCTCCGTCCTCCGAGACCCGCAGCATCCCCCTCTCTATCTCTCTCTGTGTGTCGACTGTCTGTCCCCAACGAGGAAGGAGGAACTGTTTTGTCCCAGAAAATGGGCCGAAATCTGCTGCTGAAACTAACACAGCCCAGCTTACGCGTCGAAGCCTCGTGCAGTGCGACCTAGCACTAGCAGGCGGGAGAGGCCGGCCCAGAGCGCGATGTTCCCCGGCCGACAGCACCGCCGGGCACGACCGCTGCTGTTGCACGGACGCGTCGCGTGGTAGTACTAGTACTTTGGAATCGTTTTATTTGACGTGTCAGCCTCTCCGGAGTACTACTACGGCAGCCTGCTCCCGCGTCCGCATCCGCATGGCACCGGAGGACCGAGAGCGGGGTTGTGTACTGGCGGTACTGGTGCGTGTGTCCCCGACTCCCCGAGTCCCCGGACCCCGGCGGCCGGCGCCGCGCACTGCGTGGCGTACGGATGAATTGATTCCAAGAGCTTTTTTGCCTTTTTTTTTTTTCCTTTCTCAAGCACTGCAAGGTTCCAGTTTCAATTTTGAAAGTATACTGTTCCCCAAAAAATTTTGAAAGTATACTGCCCAAAGAACGTGCGTACGAGCCAGCCACGTGTAATTAATATAAAAAAACATGTCCAGGGTACTACGTGCGGAGTTGCTGAGAACCATCATCAAATTCTAACGAATCCAATCATTACGCGCCGGATTTGCTCATCGCATGGTGCCCCGTTCGGTTGTCATATAAGCCCTACCTTTTTAGGGAAAAAATAATATTTTTTCTCTCGTAATAAATTAGCGAACAATATTTTTTAGCCTGACTTATCAACCAAGCGAACAAGATAGTGAAAATACCAGCCTCACGTCGACGCGGTACCAACCATTGTAATATAGTAACTCACAGCTACCTTGGTGTTACTGGTGTAGCGCCCATGTTAACGTCACGGCTGCATTTCAGGATGCACATAAAAACAACCCGATGACGATATTTTTCTTTCCATGGCTTAAGTTTCACGCAATTACTATCAGTGTAACAACACCTAATTTTTTTCAATTTGACTTTAAAAAAAATACGTTTAGCCCCCTGGACGACGTAAACTAATCTTTGGAACCTGGGATCGGCGGCAGAACACATGGCTTCGAGACAACACGTCTCCGCGCCACTACCTATGGCACTGAGATGCCTGGCCACGCACAGCATGGCAACCGAGGTGGCGCTGACGTGGCAGATACCTCGGAGCCAAAGTTTAAGAAGGCGCTAGGCGCTTTCTAGGCGCTAACCCATAGCCTAGCGCCTAGACCAGCCTAGGCATTTTAAGACGTTTTGCTAATTTAGCACATAACATATATATATATTATATATATATAGCAGAAAATGCTGAATACATTAGTTAAATAGAAGCATAGAGTAGCTGAATATAGTATATAAAAGAGAGGGTAGTAGACGTACCTTAGTGGATTACTGTCTTAGACTCAATAATCAATAGACAACTTGTTCCTATTTCCTACAACAAGGATTGACAGCTTGTAAATACTCAATAGACAGCAAGCGGTTCATCAAAAAAAAAGAAAATAGCAAGTTGACACTTATCTGAATAATTTAAGCCATCTCCCATCCATGAACAAACCATATCAGCAGCCAGTAATTACAAATTTTAAAGCACAAACAAGTGGACATGACAACAGTACAAGTGCACAACACAATTCATAAATAAAGGTCTTGTTCAGATACCACATAGTTCTCACAAAAGAAGAAAAACACAGTCACACAGCAGCAGTTCATAAGTTTCAGACATATATGATAAAAGATAAACCATGACATGATAAAAAGACCCCACCACCATATCATCTTTCTTCTTCAATAGGGTTCCACATAATCATCCCCATCTTCATCAAACTATTCTTCTTCGGAGTCAAATTCTTCTCCTTCATAAAGCTGTCTCACTCTTGCACTTCTACGTAGCTCAAGTTGTTCTTCTACTCCCACGGCATCTCCAATAACAGACCAAGGTATCCCTATACCTTCCATCTCATCTCTATAGACAACTAATGCACAATCATTTTCATTCTCACGAAGAAAACCTTGAGCTTCAGTTGTATCATTAGACAAGAGAACATCACTGATCTTCTTTGACTTGATATTTTCTTTATCATTAATCAGCTCGGAGTTGAATTGAATATAGACCAATTTATTCAGGTGGACTGTAGTAAGCCTATTTCTCTTCTTAGTGTGTACCTATAAATTTAAAATAAGAGCATTTTTATGTCTGCAATTTAATTGTAATGCTGCTGCAATTTTCAGGTAGACAGGTACTAACCCCTTCAAACCCGCTCCAACTTCTTTCACAACTAGAAGAGCTTGATGTCAAAGATAGGATCCTTGTAGCCATCTTCTGTAAAGCTGGTATTTCAGTTCCATGCAGCCGCCACCATGATGCTGAAATAAATGAAAAATACTTCTATTAGTTAGTAGCCATTTATTGTTAGATGAAAACAGCAAACAACCATGTTGTAATCAAATTTATTGTAATAACAAGTACCTCTACCTGGGTTGTAATCAAAGTTTTCAAAAGTCCTTGCAAACTTCTTGTTAAATGGTCCTTCTCTATTCTGAAACTTTTTCAGGTCAATGTTGGCAGCCTGATGTTGCTTATTCTCATCATGATAATAAAAAGTCTCCACACAACTGATAAATCCTTCTGTTATTGTGGGCTCATCAAAGATTGATGGGTTACTATAACTATAGTGTGGATTCAGCAAATAAGCTATCAAATGCAATGGAGAATCAAGTCTTTCTTTCATCTTCTTACCAATAACAGCAATTACCTCCTTGAACCGGGACTCATTATTGCCGAAGGCCTCTTTGATCTCTCTCTTTGCTTTTAGTAGTTCTCCATAAATGAAACCCATGGATGGCTTCACATCCCCATCAACCAAACGGAGAACTTTGACCAATGGCTCAAAAACAGTCAATGTTAGCTTGACATCCTTCCAAAAGGTTGGATTCAATATAATTGCTGTGGCATCTTTTCCTTTCTTTGATTTCACATCCTTCAATGAGTCCCACCTAATATGAACCACCATCTTTCTTAACTGGTCCTTCTTCTCTTGTATGCTGTTCAAAGTGAGAAAGGTTGAAGCAAACCTAGTCACTCCTGGACTTATTATCTCTTTTCCCTCTGTGAAGTATCTCAAGCACTCCAATGTTCTAGTGTGCCCATAGACAAATATGGTGAATACTTTTGCTTGGTCAATCACCTTCTTGAACCGAGCCATGTTGCCAATTCCTTGGAGCATCAAGTTGATTGTGTGAGTTACACAAGAGGTCTAAAAGATCTGAGGTCTCTTCTCAAGCAATAGCTTCTTTGCTCCCATGTTGTTAGAGACATTGTATGTCACTACTTGCACCACATTATCTGGACCAATGTCTTCAATTGCTTTGTCCACTAATTCAAAGATGACTTCACTTGTGTGTGACACATCTGACATCTCTTTTGAGATTATAAAACTAGTTCCATCGGCACAATTAGTGCATAGGTTCATTATGCTTCTCCTTTTCTTATCTGACCAAGCATCAGTCATAATAGAACACCCATTCTTTAGCTTCTCGGCTTCATGTTCTTGCAGCAAACTCTTGGTTCTTGCATATTCTTCTTCCAACAATGTCTCTCGCAGATTATACTGAGTTGGAGGTTCAAGTCTAGCCCCAAATTGTCCAATTACTTCAACCATTTGCTTGAACTCATCATTGTCACATGCATTAAATGGTATTGCTTCCAATGTTAAAAAACAAGAAGGTTAATTAGTGTTCACTATAGCCATAATAACATCTAATGAATTCTAAAATATAAATACAGAATATGAACTTACCATGTGTATGGACCCATCTTGCAATATATTTATGCACCTCATGTGTTCTTTCTTTCCAAAGCTCCTTGTTCAGCTTCTGTTGAGTGAAAGATTCAGATTTGGTTGCTTTAGGATCAATAGCACGCGTCCATTTGTCAATGGGTCCTAATTTGTGAGGCTCTGAATGTAACACTCTCGGTGTTACATTGTACAATTTTTGCTGAAACACTGCATGAGCATCATACTTGTTTGTACATGGGTGTAATATAGGGTATAAATCAACGTACGACATTTGAAACGTTCATCCAAAACAATAAACAAATGTTACATTTCATGTCGCTTTTATATCGTTTAGTATTCTAAGTGAATTTTTATCGAACAAAAATGCTATAGAACGTTTATGCGAACTTTGATAAAGTTTGTAGTACGAACTTCGTAGGCAACGATAAAATACGTGCGGTCGAGGACGGGGTTCGCTAGCTAGTGTGTCGGGTAACTTGAAAATCGCATTCGACGCGTAATCGTTAGGACTTAGCCGAAATTTCCCACGTCGGACAATGCGTTGACGAAGCTACGCTCGGCAATTTTTATAGAGCGATTGGGTTAAGAAGTGGCAAGATGCTTTGGCTTAGTTCGATAGCCCTAGGTACCCTCTTGAGTATAGAATAGCTAGATTGACTCTTGAATCATTGGGTTTGGGTTTTTGAACGGCTTTAAAAAGCATGCAAGTCACGGGTTGAGCAATGCCAGCGCCTGGGGCGTGGTCACCGCCCGGCTCTCGGCGCTGTCGCACCAACCGTCGTCGCGCCTGCGTGCGTACACCCGTGCATTGGCTCTACGCTTCTGGCCAAGGTCTTCTGCTGCCGTGCTCTGGCACACGGCATGCGCGTGCTGGGCTCGGCCATGCCTGCTTGCTCTACCCCTTTCCATCGCGTCCTCCTGAAGCTGCTTCTCACCATTGCGTCGTGTCGCTCGCACTGCTCGCCATCCGGCGCTGCCATCCAGCTTCTGCTCCCGTTGACGTTGGCTATGCGCACGCGTGGGCTTGCCCTGCTTGCCTCGTTCTCACGCTTGCGCGTGAGGCCACGCCAAAAGTTCCAGTCACTTCGCCTGGAAGGTCGCTGGTCGGCTGAGCCACGCCAAAGCCAACCAATGCGCTGGCCCCATTTCCGTGTACTGAGCACGTTTGGTGGTCGAGTGGAAGGATAGCTTCGTGCCTAATCGGCCACTGTTGCGGTGGTACATGGGAGGGGTGTCAAGTTGAATTTTTGCCGTCGCCGGCCGCCATAAGTCCGTAGGCGCCACCCCTGCAATTGGCCTCGTATACTCCACCGTTTTCTAACTAACCATGCACACTACGAGCTCGAATAGTGAGCTTTCGATTGGAGTCATCCTGACATTCGTTCGGCCTACAATGAGGTGAGGCGGGGCGTTGCCCTCATGGCGGTCCGCCATGGCTGCCAGAGCGGGCGCATGGCCTGGGCATCGTGTGGTGCTTCGCTGTTTCAATTAGGCTGTGCATTACGCAGTGATTGACTTGGTGACATCGCTCGTGTAGTGGTTTCGCCGGTGGAGCCGCGGGTCACCGGGAACGTCGTCGCCGCTCTCGTCGGGAGCCAGAGCGACCCCGCATACATGACCAGTCGCCTTGTCGTGCCCCGCGACCTCATCCAAGCCGTCCTACGTGTCGCTGGTAAGGCCCTCTTGCTCCTAGGATAGGCAGTTGAGCCAATTAGTGGCTAGGTAGCCTAGAGCGGGTTGGTGGTCATTGGCGAGCTGGCTTAGATGTTGTTCCTGTGGCCAGCTTGGTTGGGCGTAGTAGTGATTCAATTAGGGCTTCAAGGTGGTTACTATGAGCCTATAGATGGTTACCGAGTAGCAGTAGAGGCGTACGGTTAGGTGGTTTCGCTAGCGTCGGGCTACCACGGCCAGACCACGCTGCGGCACGTGGCCACGCCTGCGTGGTGCGCCATTCTTGGCATTTGTTACCTCAATCCATTGCGCGTGGCACGTAGAAGCTCATGGGGGTGTTGGTGAGTGCCGGAGAGGTCTGTGCTCCCCGGCGTTTGGCCGGCGAGGCCGCGATCCCTATTAGTCTGGCTAGGGGCTTCGTAAAATGTGAATTTGAATAGGAGTAGGGTCCTAGATGCGAAGCCAATGACTCGTTTAAATAGTGCTCGGGTTAGTCTCGTGAATAGGGTTAAGAACGGGAGCTTCTTTGCTAAAGCGTCAGCCGTGCGCGGGCTTTGCTGTGGGCCGCGTATTGTGGGCCGCGTCGCGCGCCGCTGAGTGGGCCGCGCCGGTTGCTGTGCATGCTCGCGGGCGGGACACCGGGGTGGGCTGAGCCGTGAATTACAAATGTTTATTCCATTTTCAATTATCCAGTGAATTACAAATGTTTATTCCATATAATTTCTAGCTGACTTTGATAAATTGTAGTAAATTGTGTTGTTGTCCAAAAATAGTGAAACCAATTTTGTTAGGTTCATAAAAATACTATCCACCTGTTAGTGTATTTATATTACAGTTAGCTGTGACAATGGTAGATTCATAAATTCCAACTAGAAAAGCTTAGTATTATGTAGATTAATAATTGTAGGATTTTTTGTGGTAAATTGGTGATAGATATAGCTATGAAAATTTTATAGTAGGCTCGCTAGATTATTATTTACTTGCTGTAAATTTTGTAGCCTTAGAGTAGGTTGATAAATAGAGTAGCTATTACCCTTGCTTTATCGTATATAGCGTAAATCAACATTAGGAGTAAGAATACATGTAGTTGCTATAATAATGTATACCATACTTCATACTTGTTATTGGTAGCAATAGATAGCTTAGTACCGTGGTCGGTAGCACTAGCTTAGTAGTTAGACAGATGTGCTTTATTTTAAGAGTTGCTGTTGCTATATTACTAAGTATTGCATCATCATTTCATGCATGTAGATCACGAGTTGGTAGAGTGCGTGCCCGTCGACGAACAGGAGTACAAGGAAGTCATCGAGTACGAGGAGGAGATCCTCTTGCTGGAGGGAGCCCCAGAGCCTTTTGGTGCTGACTTTGCTGACCCATCGCCTGCCCAAGGCAAGCCCCGGAGCATAACCCCTATTTTATGATCACTGAATATATATATATATATATATATATATATATATGATGTGCATTTAAGTTACAGGCATTTTATGGAAACTACATGCATAAATATATCTACCCATGAGTCCTACTAGTAAAGGTCGAGTAGTTGCTATGCTCAGGATATCAGTAGCGTGAGTAACCTGCCGTTACTCGTAAATAGGTGATAAAGATGACCACTCATGATAAAATGGTGGAAAGGAAAAATGGTGACTGGGCAGGGATATGGTTTAGGTATTGGTGGGTGTAAGGGGTTGTGTCCTACGACCAACGGGGCATAGCTCGGTTACACTTTTTCCCTGTCTATGTCAATTAAGGACCGGTCGTTGCCTAAGTCTCGAGGTAAGTCACAGATCTATTATCCCGGGCACATACTTGGGTATGGGCGTAGAGAAGACTCGTTGCTCTCTTATCGTGGATCCGGCTCTTTCCGGACCGACTGATTGGAGGCGGGGATGGTGGAGGTCCTTGCACCGCACTGAGTCCGGGACTCAGGAGTGGGGGCTTGGAGTCCAAGTTTGGACGGGGACCTGGACACCAAGGACATGAGGGTGATGGGTTAGTCCAGCTTGTGCCTAGGGTACAAGCGGGGCGTGTGTTTTCGGGGTACCCAGCTGGGGGCATTGATTCGCGAATCGCCGGGCAATCCGGTATGACTTGTTTTTGGGTCTAGCACCGTAGTAAGAACTGAAACATGGAAGATGATGAAATGGAACTGATTGCTCAACTCTTGCTTGGAAGTAGAACAGGTGCTTATATAGACTAGATAGATAACAACTTAATATGGCTGATAATAATAACATAACTAAGGACTCACTATTAGTATTGCTTTCCGCTAAAAGAAAACCAGCAACCCATAAAGCTTCTCATATTCCTTGGAGTCAAGAAATTATTTCCACTAGTCGGATAAGTCTTGCGAGTATATTGTGTACTCAGGGTTTATTTACCCATGTTGCAGGTGATGCATGAGAAGTACCTTTGTGTGGAGGATTCATCTGGTGGGCTCAAACGGATCATCATTCTTATCACTAGATGTTTATTTTAAATTCTGTTGTTTATCATTCCGCACTCTGACATTTGGCAATGTAATAATGTAATTTCTAAGAAACTCTGATGTATGAAATGGACCTATATTGTAACTCGTTCTCATTATTGGATCCTTGGGAAAAATGTGGATCTTTTGGGTTCTTCCTTGGGGTGTGCCCGACGGATACCGCCGCTGTAACTCACTCTCGGGGTGCTTAGTGTCTGGTGGAAGATGAGCGCCTCCGTAAGCGAGTTATTTTGAGCAGTTCTGC